GGAAGTAGTCCCTTTGGGAACGTGCTCCAGCAAGAATAGGAGCTATTGTTCTCCCGGAGGGCTTCAGCCTCCCCTCTGCTGTGTCGAGCGCTTCAATTTCTTCTCCCAGGAGTGAGCAGTGTCTGCTGCTCCTTAGAGCTGACTCGACCCTTTCTAGTTTTTAATTGCAGTGGGTGAATGGGGTGTCCGGGGTGGCTGGATGTCCCACAAGCCTTGGGCAGGGGGAATGGCAGCTCCTGGATTAGTGCAAAGTACGCTGGGCTGCGTGCCCTTGGTGCCGGGTCAGGCAAGGTCCTTTCCCCAGAGCGTGGGGCTTGTCCTGTCCCCTGCTTGGCATGGCCTGTGGGGGCAGCTCCTTTGGCATACTTCCCAGCCAAGAGCAGTTCTGAGGGTGAAAAGAAGGTTTTAACCTTGAAACAATCAAAGATGGGATTTCTAGGGTAGTTTCTGGGTGGGTTTAGTGGTCACTTGGGGGTATAGCCACCAGTCCCTTGGTGTAACAGGTGGAGGAATCAAAGAGCTGCACCAGATGAGAGCATGGAGGAGACAGTGGGCTTGCCTTGTCCTCACATTGAGTAGGCAGTGAAAAGTGTTAGTATGTTCCTCCAGGCAGGGGTGAGACAGCAGAAGTGAACTTTATGTAGGTCCCCAAAGAGGGAAATGCATTATTAGAAACCTGGAGCTGCTGCAGAATAAGAGCAGAAAATGAGGTGCGGTGGGGTAAGGTGTAGAAGAAGCACTTGGCTAAAAAGGAACCTTTGAAACCTGCTGTTGGAAGGCAGGCGTGGCACGCCCTGCGCCAAGGAGGCACATTGGGGGGATCTTCATGCATCCCCCAGAGCCAAGGTGGTGTTGACCCTTGGGCTGGGGAGGAAGGGAGAGTGTTGTACCTGCTGCTGTGGCTTCTGCTGCTTCAGAGCCATCCTCCAGCATCCCTCGGGCACAGGGTGGATGCGTGATCCCTCAGCTGGTGGGAGCTGCAGGCCTGAGTCTGGGAAGCTGTGCTTCCCGCAGCAGCACTGCTGGCGCGCCACTGCTGTGTCTCGGGGCTGGGGGCTCTTCCCCCCCCCACAGGGGACAGGCTCCTATCTCTCCCCTAAGCATCCATCACTTCTGGCAGGCTTTTTCTCTGGCTGAGGTTTGTATGACAAAAATGAAACGTAACTTCCCACTGAGGGAGGTGGGAGCTGCTTGTTCCTGTCCTTGCTGCCCTGTGCCTTGGCTCAGTGCTAGGAGAGGGGATTTGAGCAGCTAGAAATCAAGCTGCAGATAGCACGGGTAGCGGCTGCTCCTGAGCAGCCATTGTGCTGTAGCGGCTCGGGGCAGCAAACCCAGCGCTGCCGCGCTCTGCTTGCTCAGCACAGTGGTGCTGGGGGAGTTTGCTGGGAGCGGGAGTGCAGAGAAGTGGCTCACACCTCCCTCTGACACAGAGCTGATAGATAAACCTGGGCTGATACTGTGGCTGGAGCCAGGGAGGGGGTTTTCCAAGCCCTGAAGAGCCCCAGGGCTGCAAACCAGTAAAGTGCTCCTAATAAAACCTATCAGGCCAAATTCCTATCAGGCTTAATCTCATCCTAACCCTTAGCTCCTGCCCAGCCCTGTTTTCATGGCTGGTTGCTGCCCCAGAGCGCTTGCTGGGATAAGGGCCTTTGGCAGGCAATGGCCTGAGTGCACACGTGCTGCTGAAAGACGCTCAGTCCTAGCCTTGAATTCTCTCTTCCAGCCTGAAGTGCTCCTCTGGGATCCCCTCCTGGCCGTTCTCCTCTTCCTGAGGAACGGCGATCACATTGTTCAGCCTCGTGCATCAAGGTGGCAAGTCTAATCCAGCACAGATTAGTTTCAACCTAGTTTTTACCCTCTAATGCTCTGGGCTGCAGGGAAGAAATTCAGCCTGCTGGGGAGCAGGTGCCTGCCGCTCCCGTCCAGGGTGGCACGAGCATCCCTCAGCCCTTCCCAGCCCCAGCGGGGAGGGCAGCTGGTGTTGAGAGCTTCAACAGCCCAGCGAGAGCTTGGCCTTCTGGTTGGAAACACTTTTTTGGAGAGAGAGGAAGGATCTGCCTCTGCTCAGGTTGCCTTGCAGGTAGCTGGGACTTGCGTGCCTGAATTTATTGGCTTAGAAAAATCCCTCTGCCCAAGAAAGGCTGTTCAGGGCAGGGGCGAGGCTGGGGCTTATTAAGCAGTTCTTATAAATAGAACATGCCCCTTCAAATGGGAGCTTTACCAAAGGGCTCTAGGAGGAACTTCAGCCACTCAGCTTGAGTCACGGGCCCTGGGGACTGAATTCCTCTGTGCTATTGTGAGTGTTTGCCTTATCGCAGTCACAGCCCGGCTCACATACAATGTGGAGGGTGGAATGCCTTTGAAATATGTTCCCCTTTTGCTTCCTTCAGTCTAGAGCAGAGCTGGGACACTGGTGGGCTCTCCAGTTCCCTTCCAGTTGAAATGCAAGGGCTCTGGGTCCCAGGTGTGTGCAGTGTCACCCATCCTGCTCTCATACCGTGCTGCCAGGGGCTGTTGGACCCTTGGGCATGTGTCCCTCGGCCATCGTGTGCCGATGTGGCATTCCCTTTGGTCTTCAACATTGCTGTGCTGCTTCCTGCTGTGCTCTGCTCCTGTGTCCCCTGTGGCAGGTGGAAGCTGTCTGCTGTTCCTGCAGGGCAGGAATGAAGCTGTGACCTGGTGGCCAGGAGATGCTCTGGCCCGTTATGGTTCTCAGTGGTGTTTGGTGAGTTCCTTCTGCAGAGGCTGTTCAGCGGTGATGGCAGGAGGTGACACTACTCTGCACTCTGGTGACTTCTGCTGCTGGCTGAGCCCAGGTCTCGAAGCTGAATTGGGCCCTTTGTGTTGGGCTGGCAAACGATACCCCTGGGTAGAAATAACAGAGATAAAAGAAATGGAGTTGGCAAAGGAGAGCGAAACAAGGAACAGGGAACGTTGCTTTTCATCAGAGTTCTCAATTTGAGTTGGTGTCCATGGTGACAAGGGAAGTTGGTGTCACGCTGGTTTAGTGGGCATGGTCTCTGGTGTCCCATCTGGGGTTTGTGAGAGGGGAGGAGGGGGTGACAGTCACTTCTGTCCTAGTGGCTTTCCTACAAAACCTGAGTTTAGTGCTCATGAAGGACTCACCAAAGCGGTGCCTAACTGGCAGTGAAGGTTTGAGGCATTTGGGCTCCATGAGCAGGTCCAGGCTCCCCTGTCCCAACAAGGGGAGCGACTGCAGGCGTGTGGGCTGGAGGGGCCTGGAGCATGTGCTGCAGGTTCAGGGTGGCGGGCAGCAATCGAGCATGACAGGCTTGGGGCTGGCTGTGGCAGGAGGAAACAGGCATCGGCTTGGGGCTGCGATGCTGCTGGAGCTGACCCAGCAGCCAGACTGGCACAGCTCATCACACCTGAGGATGGCAGGCTTCATCTTCCTTCTGGAAGAAGTGAGGCTGGAGGGCATTTGGGTTCCTGATGGCTGTGTGGACCTCCTGCAGCCCTGATGCTCAGTGTCTGCAGAGGGGGCTGTTTTGAAGCAGGGGGAGTGGGTGGGTGTCTCATTAATCACAAATGATACTGCCCCAGAACCACCAGTGGGACCCACTCCTGCCTTCCTTGAGAGCACAGAGATCAGCAGTGAGGAACGCATGCCCAGAGCAGGGAACAGCCTCAGCCCTCCATCCACCCTAACCCCCAGAGGGGTTTTATCCTGGACAGGCAGTGCATAAGCTGTGCAGATGTTAATGATTTCTACGCTGAAGAATGTGGTGTTGTTGCTGAACACAGATCGAGTCATTAAGCTGCGCTGGGCTCGCTGGAGCTCGGCGGTGTGGGAGGGTAGAGGCAGGAGCAAGACCCCGCTGCTCCCGGCTGTGGGGAGTGTTGCTGGCAGGGCACAGCAGCAGAGCTGGCTGTGCAAGTTGTGGGCTGTTCTCTCAGGTACCTGGAGGTTTTTGAGGTGGGGCTAAGGACAAGTGACCAGAACTGAGACAGGATTTCTCCTCCAGCCTGAGCAGGGTAGTGCAGAAAAAATGGATAGGTGGTTTGAGAGAGTGAGAGCCTGTTCCTTACCCCCAAATACCTGTCCTCTCTTGGGTGTGTGATGTCCTGTTAACTTTGCCTGTTCTATTTGCTAGCCCTCAGAGTTTATAAAGTTTGAAATTTCTGAGATCAGGGTGCTATTAATAGGAGCCCTTGCCGGGAATGGGTGCAATGGATCCACGTGCTGTGCAGGTTTAAGCAGAGATGTGGGGAGCTGCAACCTTGGGTGAGTAAGGAGAGGGGGTTTCATGCAGTTACTCCAAAAGCACATGGGATCCAGTCCTCCCTCAAGCTGCTGGTGGGAAATCTGAGACAACAGAGGCATTCCCTTGCACTGGAATGTTAACAACAAGGTGTGGAGGGATTCAACCCATTCTCAAGCCTCCTGGCACTGTTGCTCAGATGTGGCTCTCTGGGAATTGCCCAGGTCTGCTGGGTAATGCTGCATTTGTACGTGCCCTCCAGAGTGTTTTCCTTTATGTTTTAACCTTGGGAATACTTTTTTTTTTTCTTCTGTTTTAGGAATTTCTCTGTGACCCAAAGTTCAGTGATGAGGAAGATCTGGAGGAGAAGCTGGCCGTGTTCAAAGGTGAGAACGGGAGGGTTTCTGTGTCCCGTCTCAGCTTATTTGCTCTGAATAGATTATTTTCCTCCACACTCGGATCTTACCAGCCTGAGATTCTCTGCCAAATACAAGTGACTGAGCTGGGATGGATGCCTCCCCCTTGCTTGTGGGACTCGGTGAAACTCCCTGGAGAGGTGGTTTTCCCACAGGAGCCTTTTGTGCTTCCCCCATTTGTAGGGCAGGGACATGTCACCCTGCAGACATCGTGCCTGGCGGCTGCTATTACTGCAAAACCTGCTGCGTGGGCAAAACCCAGGGGAGCAGCAAAGGAGGATGGTTTCTGTCTAGATACCTAGACAAGCTTGCTCATACAAAGGGTGATGCAGTAGCTGGACTCTTTTTTTTTTTTTTTAAGTGAGTAGGAGGACCTCTTCCCACACAGCAGAGGTCTCAGTTGCTTCCTGAAGGAGTTGGGGACTTTTTCTCCCCGAAAGTTTCTTCAGTCTGATCTGGTCCTTCCCAAGTGCCTTGGTCCCAGAAGCAACAGCAGTAATGTGTCTCTAGTCCTGGCCAAAGCCTAACTCCAGTGGGTCAGCAGCTCTGGGGCTCAGGTTTGTGTCATTTGCTGAGATGGGGGATAGAGGAAAAAGCCTGGGGTCCTCTGGAGCTTGTCCCCAAAGTGGTTACAGGACAAGATTTGGCAGGGCTGTTCTTGGTGCATCCACTTTTTTTTCCAAGCAGTGGCTGAAGGCAGTTGAGAAAACATGCCTTCTGTGTCACGCTGCCCTCAAGGTTTGTCCTTACTCTGGCTCTGATCAAACAGAGCCTGACCTTGCTTCCATTTCAGGCGTTGACTGCTATTTCCCTTTGAATTTTGGCGTTGCAATTCAGCATGGAAGAAGCTGGCTGGGGTTTGTGATCCCTTACCCTGCTGGGCACAGAGGAGCCTCCTGTGCTCCCTGTCCTTCTTCTGTTGCCTTTTGTGTGGCTTTGGCTTTTGGCTGTAGCCCCACATTATTTTTCCTATCACAATCGGGGCTCTTCAAACATTGCAACTGTAGGTCACAGGCGCAGAATTCCCTGTAACGAGAGCCTTTGGCATCTCCTCCCACTGCCTCGTGAGTTTGCCTCCGTGGCCTGTCCCGCTCTCCAGTGCCTCCTCCAGCTCCTCCAACAATCGGCTCATTGTGTGATGATGGGGGAGCGTTTTTTCTCTGCTCTCCTTCCCGTTGCCCTCCCCAGCTGGGCCCGGGGAGCCCCCATGCAGTGTTGGTGTAAATGCATTTGTGAGGGGAGGGACCATGCGTGGTTCTGCCCCACCAAATCCCCGCAGCTGGGATGGGAGGGGGTGGTTCTGCCCCACCAAATCCCCGCAGCTGGGATGGGAGGGGAAGGTGAATGTGTGAGCCGAGGGTTAGAGCGGGACGATGTAAAGCTGCCTCTGTTCTCTGCGCGTTTGGCGAAGTGTCAGCTGAGAAGAAAAGAAAACATGTGCTGGGTATGGCCACAGCAGAGCAGGGTTTGTGTCCCCGAGCGCATGCTGGGGTGCCTGACCCCTGCCCAGGGAGGCGGTGGGTCATTAGCACAAGGTCGTTATGGTGGGGCAGAATGTGGAGAGAGCCGGTTCCACATCAAGCATCGCTTTGGCCCCTAAGCGCATGTGTGACGGCCCTAATTTCATCTAGGATCAGTTGCTTGCTGCTTGAAGGGAGACATTTATTCTTGCCTGAAGCATGAACAGCTTTGGTTTGTCCGTGGCATTCCCGTAGGTCTGTCCTGGGCAGCTCAGGACAGCAGTAATCCAGCAGCTGAGACGCAGGTCGTGACAAGCCTCTGCCTCCTGCCTGTGGCTTCCATCAGCCCAGTTAACCTGGGACCTTCCTTCAGAAACACGGATCCTGGGAAGGCTCTGATGTGTGAAATATCTCCTCTTCCCTTTAGCTCCTTAAATTAGCCTGCCACTTCTCTGTTCACGCTCATCTGCTTGCTGGTGTCCCTGGAGCAGAGGCAAAAGGTCTCTTCCCTGGGGGGAGAGGAGCAGCCTGGGAGCTCTCGGATAATTTGAGTCCTCCGAGGCTGTTCTGGGCAGTGAATGCTAACTGCAGGGCAAGTGGAGATTTCTCCAGCTCGGCGTGGATGGATGGTGGCAGCAGGCATCTTGCTCGTCTCATTTATCAGAAGTGAGATAATGGAGGGGCCCCCTGCGGCGCGGGAGCTGTATGGTTTGTAAGACAGACAAATCCTTGCCTGAAGAGCTTAAAGTCTAAATGGGGAACAGCTAGCAAGGGAGGGGGTAGGAAGCACAGGTGTGCAACTCCAAAGGTCAGAAGCGGCACAGGATTGAAATCCTGATTTTTCTGCCTAATACCAGTGCTCTGTCTTATGGCACGCCAGCTTTTGTGCTGCAAAGCTAACCAGACCTTGAGCAAGCTCTGCCTTTCTCTGAGGATGCTGGAGTTGCCAGATTCTGCAATGTTTGACAGCAGGCTGGAAGGGCAAACAGCCTGCTCTGCCTTAACTGCTCCTAGGCATGTTCTTGGCTTTGTGCTCTTGATGTGGTCCTCGAGCATCTCTGCTGGCAGGTGCTGCTCTGGGAGCGCAGCACAGTGTTGGGAGGGCTGCAGAATCTGTCCCTTGCTATTGCAGGGAACTACGTAATGTAATTCCCCTCCTAATCCGATCAAGCTTCATCTTGGGAGTGCTCAAGGTTTTGTTTTCCTTGCTATGCTTTGTTTTTTTGGCTGGAAACCTTTTAACACTATTCATGGCTAGTTGATACCTTCTTCTCATGCCAGTGTTTTCCTTCAGCTTAAATGAAAAGCAGGCACAATTAAAGAGCACTTAACTCTAGAGCCCTGGAATTGAGATATGCCTGAATCTTTTATTTCACTGCTCTAAGCAGGCAGTGCTCTGAAGCCCTGCACTCCCCCTGCTCTAGCGTCCTGCTAACTTGCTTCTGTGTCTCTTCCAGAGAAGTACATGGAGTTTGACCTGAACAACCAAGGCGAGATTGGTGAGTGACTCTGAGGGATGCTGGTGCTGGGCTGGAAGAGCAATACCCTGCTGAGGCAGTGTCTGCTGCTGTATCTGCTGCTTCCCGCTGCACTGCTGTTGCTGAGGAGGAAAACCTGTGGGCTTTTTCTGTGTCCAGCCTTGCTTTGATCTTGATGACCAGCCAGGGGCTTCCTTGGCTCTCCAGCCCCTGCCCTCAGCTTTCTGTCTCCCCACCTGCTTCAAAATCTAAGCTCTTCTCAGTCCTCTTCTCCTGAGTCTCTGCTTAGCTTCTCCACTTCTTTCTGCTCTAAATGCTCTTTTTCTTCTCCCTGTTTCTTCACTGAGGCGTTCTTCTCAATTCTCAGCATTTCCAGAGCTGGGAAGCTGCAGGGCTTGGACAGTCCTGGGTTTTGTCTGGCTTGAGGCAGAAGCTGTATAAACCATGAGCGCTCCTAGTGCAGAGCAGCTCTCCGCTTTGCTGGGAGCGGAGCAGAGGGAAGCAGGAGACTTGGACTTGAGTCTGGCTCAGCTGAGCAGCCCCAGTTTGGGCCCAGAAAGCACCAGTTACGTAAAGATCCAGCCTTCTGCAGGCCTGGAGCTGACACTGAAGTGTAATCACTCGCCTGCTGTGCCCTTCCAGGAGGCTGCTGCCTCCTTCCCCTCCTCCACCAGTCCTCCAGCTGAAGTAAATCCTGTGGGGAGCTGGAGGAGGTCTGACTCAGGGCTATGCTGTGTTTCCGGGAGGGAAGGGGCCACAGGTCTCAGTGGGCAGCAGAGCAATGGGAGGAAATGGCCTGTGGCGATGGGCAGGGGCAGCGGCTCCCCGCAGCCTGTTTGTCTCCAGCTTTAACCCCGGCATTGCTTCCCTCCTCCACATCTTTGTGATTCTTGGCACCACGCTCTGAGCTAGAGAGCAGTGTCCCCACATGTCTCTGGAGCACTTGGAGAGTTGTCCCTCTCCTGTGTGTGTGGTGCTTTTATCCTGAGCCGCACAAAGGGGAAGCGATGCTCTGCCCTGGCAGTACAGCAGCGGGCTGTCCTGGAAGGCTTCTCTTGGCTTTCAGCAGCAGCTTAATGCTGTCAGCCCCAGAGTCTGCAGGTGAGGTGGTCTGAGGTGGGAACTCATGCCTGTATCCCTGGGGTTGGTCTGTGCTCAGCGTGGTCACCTCTCAACAGCACCGGTTGCCGCACTCTTGCAGATTTGATGTCTGTCAAAAGGATGATGGAGAAGATGGGGGCTCCGAAGACCCACCTAGAACTGAAGAAGATGATCTCTGAGGTGACTGGAGGGGTCAGTGAGACCATCTCGTACCAGGATTTTGTCAACGTGATGCTTGGGAAACGCTCTGCTGTGCTTAAACTGTGAGTGTCCCTGGGAGGGATGGGGAGATGCAGGACCTGAGCTGGTGTGGTGGGGAGCTGGGAAGCAGAAGCTGCTGTGCCTGATGGATGTGGAGCTGTGTGTGCCTGGTGCTTGTGGAGGGGAGATGAGGACCCTTCTGAAGGGGGATTTTGCAAAGAGACATGAAAGGGTGTATAAGCCCATGTCTGGGCTGAGCACGGGGAGCTGCCTCCTCTGTGTTAGCATAGGCTTCCTCCCACATGCTCTATGTGGAGTGATTCTTCCCCTTTCCCGAGGGTGTGCAGGCACTCAGCACTGCACAAGTTCCTCCTGTCTCTTCCCCATGGCTCCTGCTGGCTTTGGGGACGCAGACTTCCCCAAACTTGAAGCCTGAGACTTGGGCAGTGAATGATGGCCCTGCCAACACCAGCAGTGCTGGCTCCTGTTTCCCGCAGGATGCTCACTCTCTGCCTGACTTTGGAGAGACAGGCAGTAGCTGGAGGGAGGACACATGCCTGAAACAGCTGGCTTGTGCTGGGGGAGGTTTTTTGCGGTACAGGCTGCCAGCACCAGCCTCCCACGGCCCCCTCTGCCCTCTCGACAGGGCTCTGAAAGTCCTGCTGTAACAAATGGCTTCTGAACACTTGCTTGGCTCCATCTCCACCCTGTTGAAGCCTGGCTTTTCCTTTCACAGCCACAGAGCCTGCTCCTGCTTTTGTGTCTGTAGCCACCATGAATAGGAGCTGCTCCTCTCCACCCCCCGCAGCCCTTTCTGAAGGCAGCTTTAGAAACAGCTTTTGGGGCAGGTTGGGAGGAAGAATCGTGCTCCCACCTCTCACGTAGTCCTTTAAGCTGGTATGTGCTTGCTGGTGATGGTTTGCTCCTCTCACCACTGAGTGCCCTATGTCTGTGTGTTGGGGTGCTTCTCTTCTGAGCACACACAGACTTCTGACACCCCTGCTCCTCCTGTCTTTCTCCATGGAAGCAGGCTGAGCCTGCAGCCTGTCCCATATCTTCCATCCTTCCCCCCAGCTGCAGCAGCTTTCACAGGTGGGTCCCTTCTCTCGCTAACAGATGTCCCATTGTCTGTTACGACTCTTTAGAACAGGAGCAGAAATGTAAAACTCATCCCGAGAGCAGTGCAGTCCTTTGATCCAGTGTGGCAGCTGGCATTCCCAGCGTAGCTGCAGTCCTGGGGAGGAGGACAGGGCTGGTGGTTGCAAAATACTTGGGATTCTTCTTGCCAGTGCCTTGCTCCTTGTCTCTGCCCTCCTCCCCAGCTGTAATTGCTGTTGCTTGCTTGGTGTTGGCTTTTGAATGTTCTGCTGTGTGATTATGTACAAGGTGGGACAGGGATGATATTTGCTTTTACACATCAGGAGAACTTGGTGTGCAGTGTGTGCCCAGGGGATTTTGGAAGTGGCTGTCTAAATATAATGTGCTAATCCTCTGGGCTCTGAGAGGAAAGCCAGCAGAGGCTTTGGGAACCCACTCCTGGAAGCTGCTGGACAAGCAAAGCTCCCTGCCAGGCTGGCAGCACTGCCCTCGGTTGGCTTTCTCTCCTCTGTTAATTATCGGATGCTCTTTGCATAGAAGGCAGATGCTATTTTTCATCAGATAAGATAATCCCACCCCCAAAGATGGGTAAAGATGCACCTGCTTTTTTAATTGGTATTATCTGTTGTGTTTTTCAGGGTCATGATGTTTGAAGGAAAAGCCAATGAGAGCAACCCAAAACCCTCTGGTCCGCCTCCAGAGAGAGACATAGCCAGCCTCCCTTGAAGAGGACAGGCTGAAAATTGGCACTGTTTGCTTTGCCGGTCTGTAACAGAGGTTACCTGTGCTTTGTTACTATTTACTGTGGACAGTCCTAGTTTTCAACTAACCTGCCTTAGAGGAACAGCAAGGGAAGCTGGAGACCCCCAGCTCGTGTTTCTGCTGCATCCCTTAGCTAACTTGATTTGTTAGAGAGAAGCTGTAGCTCCAAGTATAATGTGAGACCAAAAGAATAATCCTGTGATCTTAGTCTTTTCCTCTGCCCTTCCTGCATTTCTTGGACGAGGAGCTACTTTCCTCCCAGCATGTAGACTCAGAGCTGTGCTTGTTATGACAGATTCCTGGGCCTTGCTCCCAGACACTGAGCATTTCTCTGACAGCAGCTTCATGGGTGCAAAGAAATAAGTGCCTTCTCTGTCCTACACTTCCTGACTTTGGACTAGTTCTTCCCCTCCTGACCTCACCAAAACACAAGTCAGGCTCCTGCTTCTGTGCCTGGCCACATGCTAGGTGACTGTGGGAAGGCGCACGGACACCAGAGGTCTGCTGCAGGGCTTTCAGCTTGGAGGTGGGCACGGCTGGCTGCAGGGACAGCTTCTGTCCGCTCCATGGGTTCATCCTGCTGTCAGATCACAGCGGGTCCAACACCAGCCCCTGCAAGGGAGGATGGTTAAAGCTATGTTGGGTTCCCCTTCCTGATAAATCTCTGCTTGGATCTGATCAGGAGCATAACCTCTGAACAGGTGGTTGTCTGTCCTGTCCATCCAGTGCAGAAACAAGCCAGCAGTTATGCCTTTGCAGCCCTTAGGGAAGGGGAAAATAAACCTTCAGGTGAAAGGAAGCTGGGTGACTAAACTGTGAGCCCTGCCAGACCAGCTGCGGATGAGGTTTTGTCCTTATGCAGCTGCTCTGTCCCTCTGACTTTTGCAGACCTCTCTGTATGTGTTTCAGCTTGGTCCCCTGGGACTATCAGGTACATCTTGATGGATAAGCCCTCAAATCTGTGAAACAAGGATGGCTGTAAGTGTGGAGCATGAGCTGGGATCCAGATGTAGCAGGGACTGTGCTACCAACACTCCGGTTACTGCGGGGATCCTTGCTCTATACACAATTTCTGGAATCCAGATGTTTGCTCTTCGCCCTTTCCCTCCTTTTAAGTGTTCTTGGCAGCTTTTAACTTTTTTTTTTTAAATCATGGTTTAATAAATACTTTTTTTAAAGAAATACAGATGATTAACTCTACTAGGCTGATTGTTCCTGCCACTTTTAAATAAAAAAAAAAATTCTCACTACTGTTTGCATGAAAACCAAAACTGTAGTGGAGAGAGAAAATTGAGCAAGAGCAGCACCAGTCTACTTTGAAGACTGAAAATAAATCTTCTGAAGCTATACCATGTGTCAGTGTATTTAGTTCAGCTCCTCTGAAGCTTGGTCTACATGATTGGTTGCAGATAAAGTAAGCTGGTTTCCAAGTCTGTTAATATAAACCCTTAAATAGATCTTAGAGATAGGTTTGGACTGTTTTGATCTGATCTTTACCTGTAATAACTGACCCAGCACCATGGAGTTTGTGTTATGAAATGCAGGAGCCATGTCCTGAAAGCTGTCTTTTTTTTTTTTTTTTTTAACTGAAGGAAAGCAGGGGGTGCTTGTTTTAAGTAGTCACTTGTTTATCAAGAGCAGACACTTGTAATGCTTCTCTTGAAAGAGGTGTTTTTTTTTTCCCAGCTTTTCTGCTCTTGAAGCAATTGCCTGCGGCTCTTGTCTGATGTGAGGTATCAAAATGGAGACCAGGCTTCCTGGGGGAATGCCTGGGTACACTTTTCCATGTGTTCCTCAAACGGACAGAATTGCCCTTAGATCACAGCCCTGTGTCTGCTTTCTGCTGCTGGTTAGCCTCTGGGAATACGCCTGCTTCTCTGGGCTATGTGTGTAAAGCTGTTGTTCAGTTAGAAAATAAAGGGAGCATATTACACGAGGGAAATTTGGATGTGGTTTGCCGCAGTTCAGGTCACTGCCCAAAGCTATCACTGCTTTTGTCTCTGTGGAAATCATTGTCCTTCTGGTCCTGGAAAAGTAAAGCACAACCTGCCAGAGCTGGAAACAGCCTTTCTCAACAAGTCCTTGTCCCCGGAGTGCTAAGGGGATGCACGCCCTGTGCTGGCACTCTGAGTGGGGGCTGAACCCCCTGACCCTGAGGCAGGAGGGAGCAAGGAAAGAAATCCTGCTGTGACTGAAAAAAATGTGGAAATCATTGTCCTTCTGGTCCTGGAAAAGTAAAGCACAACCTGCCAGAGCTGGAAACAGCCTTTCTCAACAAGTCCTTGTCCCCGGAGTGCTAAGGGGATGCACGCCCTGTGCTGGCACTCTGAGTGGGGGCTGAACCCCTTGACCCTGAGGCAGGAGGGAGCAAGGAAAGAAATCCTGCTGTGACTGAAAAAAACCCACCCTGCGTTTGTGAGGCCCTGGAGCCCCAGTAAGGCTGTCCCCAGCCACAGAGCTTCCCTCTTTCAAGTTCAGCTGCACATAACTGGAGGTGTACAGGGGCCAACCCTGAGCACTGGACTGTGCTCCCACTGCAGTTCCACGCTAAGGGAGCAGGATTGGTGTAGAGCTG